TTCACCTCTGGGTGTCAGCCATATGAGAGAGCGAAAGGTTGTGCATTAATCTCATTTTGTGTTTAATGTCAATGGTCTTTGACCTGATCGGTGGCTCATGGCTTCTCTGTTATAATGAAAACAGAGAAACAACAACAGTGCTGAAAATACAAAATCAAACCCTTCTTTCAAGAATAAGCATGCATCTCCACAACAAAACTTCAGATTCATGAACACATAATCCAAACATGTGCACCAAACTGGTAGCACTTACTTCTATTGTTGTATGTATTTCATGTATTGTTTGGTCTAAAGGCTGGTTTAGGTGTTTTATTACTATTATTATTAAATATTATTTTTCAGATAATATTTTACACATATTTTTATTTTCACAGTATAAATGTATCATTCTTTATGAAAATGTATAGAGCTGCTTTTATATTTTAGGAAGGGGATAAACATATTTGGCACACCATTCTAATATTTAACGCCCATGTTTCACAATCCAATGAGGATAAAAATCCTGTCCTCTTTTTCCCCATATGGAAAGTCTTGTTCCCTTTGACATTACATTAAATTATGCAGCATAAATAGGGTGTGAACAGTGTTTTGTGTATTTCTTCAGTGCTGATTATTTGTCACTTCCATGGGTTATATCATGACAGCGGGATGTATCAGTCAGAAGGCAGAGGTGACAGCACAAGTGCCGTCTCTCACAGTTGCTGTGTAACTCTGTGCACCTCACAACCTTTCAGGCCACACAGTGTGTCAACTCACACACTGAGGTGACAGGATGTGAGTGAGGGAGCCATCTGACACATCTGAACTGTTGACATACTGTAGGTGCTTATTGGCACACGCCATTGTGTGAATGATGTTAAGTGGACCTCACGTCTACAGCTTCTGTACAACAGCAATGATTGCAGTGGTAAAGCTCTGTTTGTATGCAAGCACATTGTAATGTGGGGGGGAACAGGTGTAAGATTGTGTATAAAAACCCTTTAGAACAAAATGAAAGTGACATTAGATCACACCAAACTGTTTACATGAGAAGCCATGACTGATTTTACATGCCTGAACTCTTTCAGTCCAAAATTGGCTATTCCACATATGGCAAAAAATATAATATGTGTATATATATGTGTGTGTTTGTGTGATGCTAAAAATTTTGCTTTGATAATAGGAATAAATTACATTTTAAAATATATTCAAATAGAAGAAAAAATTGTGCAGTCAAACGATTAATCGCGATTAATCGCATCCAAATAAAAGTTTTTGTTTACATAATATATGTGTGTATTGTGTACATTTATTATGTATACAGTATATAAATACACACACAAACAGCATATATTTTGAAAATATTTACATGTATATATTCATATAATTTATATCATATATAAATATATAAACGTAACATATTTTTCTTAAATATATACATGCATGTGTGTGTCTTTATATATACATAATAAATATACACAGTACACAGACATATATTATGTAAACAAAAACTTTTATTTTGGAT